TTTGCAAAATTGATATTTTAGAAAGGTCATGATAATATGAACTCATATTAAACAGAAAGTGTATACAGAACATTTAAGCATGCACAATATGATATTTAATTAGTATACCATATGTTGGAGAGGTCCAAATTATTTAAATTGTATAAGAAACCTGGGTAAAGTTATATTAAGTAATTTACTATTAACTTTCACTTCTTGTAGCAACACTTGTCAACATGCAGAGGATTATTTTGGACCACAGTACATTAAAAGACAAGTGTCCTGATCCAGATGTAAATGGTAAGAATTGTTTAGAAGTATTATTATAATTATTATTATTAATTAATTATTATAATAGTCAAATGCTCTTTAATAGAGCTGTTCAGCATGTTCTGTGACACAGTTTTGTCACAATGATAAAGCCAATGATTTCTTATTTTGTTTGGTACATAAAGAGCTGATTTTTGCTATTCTCTTGATCACACTAATTTAATTATCTACAGATCAAGTCTAAGTGTAAATTTGAATGATTTACCCTAGGATGGGGCCACAATCGCCGACCAAGGTTTTACATAGAAATATATAGGAAAACTCTTTAAAAATCATCTTCTCAAGAATAGCAAATCCATGATTGGTCATGGGACTACTTTTGGATTTAAACATTTCAATAATAAACCAATTTCTACTTTTTCCTGCCCCCAGTGTTCAGGTGAGCGATGTGGCCCATGTGCCTCTTGTTTAAAATTCTTCTTCTCAAGATTAACAAAGCCATGAATGGTCATATTTATATGGAAGCATTCTCAGGTAGTGTAGATTCAAATTTGTTCAAATTATGACCCCCGGGGATAGGTCAGGGCCACATTGGCCGACCAAAGTTTAACATAGAAATATATAGGAAAATTCTTTAGGAATCTTTTTAAGAATAGCAAAGCCATGATTGGTCATACATGTATTTATATGGAAGCATTCTCGTGTAGTGTTGATTCAAGTTTGTGCAAATCATACCCTCTCGCCTTTAAGGAATGATTGGGACTACTTTTGGGTTTAAACTTTTCAATAATAAACTAATTTCTGCTTTTATGCTAGCCACGGTGCTCCGGTGGGTGATATGGCCCATGGGCCTCTTGTTTTAATTATAAACTTAATATTCTTAAAATCAGTGTTGATGACAGCAATCATTTTGTCATTATTTTCTTACTTAGACCTTTCCAATGATCCAACTTCACTTTTCCTCCATTTAGCAGTTACATATGCATGTACAAAAAATTATTCTTCCTGTCATCATATTTTACTGATATATACTCAAAGAAGGAGGACATATTTCTTTTCATTTCATGGTACATTTTGTTTCAGAGGTTATGCAGTTTTTCCAAGAAAGCAGGAACAATGGAGAAGAACTGAAAAGCCATTTCAATAAAACCATGATCTGACTGATCAAGTGAAAGATGATACCAGTTGTGAAGGTTGTCGAAACACTACACTAACAGCAAGCAAAGAGAGTAGTAATCATCAATACATGTATAACATGTATAACTCCTGTTAATATTCATCAGACCAAAAAGAATTTTCAATTTTGAAATTTGAAAAATATTTGGCAGTTGGAAATCTCACTTATTTTACAAATTCAAGATCAAGTAAGAACATCACAGCAAATTTGTATGCTACTAAAATGTTCAACGCATTAGAGAGTTTCACAATTTACTGATACAAACTGCAAAGTGTCCTATCAGGAACAGGCATTGTTGGAGTTCAATAAGAGCCAACAGGAAAATGAATTGGTTTGGCTTCAAAATGCAGAAAATGATTCTCCCAGAAAGTGAACAATTACTTGTCTATGATACGTGAAGATTGTTAGAGAGCAGTAAATGTCCAGATTGTGTTTTATGGCAGAAGAAGAAAGTAATGAGTGCAAATGATGAAATTTTATAAACAAAATAAAAAGCTAAGTAGCTCCAAAAAAGGAGGATGTATTGTGTCACATTCATCAAAAAAAAATTTCAAGTCAATTCACCTTCCCCCAGTAAAAAGAACTTGTCTGAAATATCTCAATGTTTGTATCGATGATGTTGAAAATTTGCAGAAATTGTTTGTACTTTAACACTCAAATGAACATGTTGATCAAATGACTAGTATGATGAATAATGTGTTCACTTGTGTAAATATTGACCAAGTATGTATACATGCATTGAATGTAATTATTATTTTCTTTATTGTTCCAACTATCTGATTGGCTCTAACTGGATCACATGATCAAGTATAAAAAGTGTTATTATTTTTCTTTGCTGTTCCAACTATCTGATTGGCTCAAACTGGATCACATGATCAAGTATAAAAAGTGTTACAGACTGGATGTTTCTATTTTAAAAATTTATAAACCTGCTGTTTCTAAAATTGGAAACGTTCTTCTGTGAAGCAACAATAGTGCTGATGTCACAATAGTCTTTATAGACTGGATGTTTCTAAAATCAGATACTGCAGCTGGTTTTCATTACTGTGACGTCATAATGCAATGACATAACAATGCCTTGTATGAGAAGGTTCTGAATATTATAAAGAAGGGTTTTAAGACTTTTCTTATAAACTGATAAAAAATAATAAAAACAATTGTAGCCTTTTGATTTGGTACAATCCTTCGATATATAGACCTCAGAGAAAGCATATGGACCTCGCACTTCGTGCTCGGTCGATATGCTTTCTCTAAGGTCTATATATCGAGAGATTGACCTCATCAAAAGGCTATAATTGTATATTACAGACTGGGTGTTTATTTTTAAAATTTATAAACTTGCTGTTTCTAAAATTGGAAACGTTCTTCTGGAAACAACAATAGTGCTGACGTCACAATAGTCTTTATAGACTGGATGTTTCTAAAAACAGATACTGCAGCTGGTTTTCATTACTGTGATGTCATAATACAATGACATAACAATGCTTTGTATGAGAAATTACCGGGTATTATAAAGAAGGATTTTAAGACATTTCTTATTAACTAATAAAAAAATAAAACAATTGTAGCCTTATGATTCCATACAATCCCTCGATATATAGACCTTAGAGAAAGCATATCGACCTCACACTTCGTGCTCGGTCGATATGCTTTCTCTAAGGTTTATATATCGAGAGATTGACCTCATCAAAAGGCTATAATTGAATGATAAATAATAAAGGTTTATACTTAAGCTTATCCATTTAGAGGTTTGTAAAGAATTCATAGCCAGTCCCCCCCCCCGGCCTCTTTTCCCATGTATTTCTTAAAATTTAAAGTCATTAAGTATTAAATTGAGAACTATGTTTGTTTAAATTCTGTAATACAGATAGGAAGAACTCTAGAAAATAACTTTTTTTCGTTTTGGACATGTTTTGAGCTATTTTTTGAGTAGCGCTAACTGTATCCTTGAAACTTTTTATGTGAAAATTTCACAAACTTTGACTTTCAATATTTTCTAAAGTGTACATTGGCCAAGGGTAATTTTTTCATATTTTGTTAACATAGGTATTCTTAACAAGAAGCAATAAAATTAACTGGATTAAAACATCCCCCCTTTTAACTAGAATAGTTGCAATTCCACTAAAAATTGTCACTTTTTCCAAATTTTGGAACATTTCCAATTTCATGACCTATTTGCACTAAAACAAAATGAATGTCAATCACTCTGACTATATATTTAAAAAGAACTAACCTTTATTCTTTTACTACAAACAGAATATTTGAATAATTTTTAAAGCTGCAATTTTTTTCTCTCCTAAAAATATGTCTAAAATGTTAAAAAATACCTCAAATTTTCTTGCATAAGAGCTATTTTTAGTAACAGGCCATAAAACGTATGTGGGTTTGATTAGCTCAGTAAAAATTTGTCTGATTTCATTTTATGCATAGTAGATTTAGCTCATAAAATTTGAAGGCAATCGGAGAAACCTGCTTTCGGACTATTTTGCATGCTTTTCTCGGAGACAGGCTGTTAAAATGTTTTTTTTTTAAATATATGGAGAAAAGGAACGGAGTTCAAGTTTATTAGTCTTAAAACAATACAAAGGAGGGGAGCAAAACAAGAATAAGAACCTCGAAAACAAAGAGGTGGGATCACACCCGCCATGTGTTCCTTCTAATGATCGGGAAATAACGGGAAAATCCGTCAATTTAATATATAAAGAATGGACTAACAATAAGTATGAAAAACGTCAGTCAGCATTTGGCTCAATGATAAATTGTATTTGCTGACAAGGTCATCGTATCGACCATACAACTTACGAAATGAAGACTTTAACCGAGACTTATTATATTCTTGTTTGAAATTCATCAACTTGTTTGTCAATATTAATTGACCTGGTTTAACAAATTGTTCATACGTAGAGCATGCTCTTGCGCATCGAATCAACTGAGATATATAAAGTTCATATGCAGGTGATGAATCATAAGTAAGGGAAGATGACGATAGAAAAGTTAAAGTCATCATATAAAGTTATCATAGAACTTTTCAAGTAAAATATCTAAGTATGAAACAGATGTGTCAGACTCTGTGATTTCCTCTATTTTAAGTTCACAAGGATATATCGTATCGACATCAAAAATTACCGTTGTTGATTGACAATACGTTAAACAAATTATTTTTTCTCAATAAATGATTAAATATCTCGAATGAATGGATGAGGCACTTTGGATACACTTTATAACTTTTACCTTTGGATATGACTCATTGGAATGCATCTTTTTATATTCATCAGTAAAGTGCAGTTGTGATGTCACAATGGTTATGCGTAAGCTTGATGAAGTAAAATACTATCAAAGTCTTACATAAAACAGTGTAAAACATTGGTTGTAACGTATTAAACATGGAATAAAAAGAATTTCCCATTATTTGAACTTGGATATGACTTTTATTCAACTCGTGTGTTTTATCTCCTCGCCAAGGCTCGGTGATAAAGAAAACCTAAACAACACATTAGATAAAAATATCTAAATTTTAATCATGAGAGATCCTATAAAAATATCTTAAAAAGCTATAGGTTTTAACATTTATATTTTAATCAAAATATATTATAAACAAAAATAACATATCACATGTAATCTAGATCAATAGATCTCTGGATATAAGTCTTTCTTCAATGTGCCTCAAATGCATACTTCTTGGTCAGTTGATCTATATACACAGGGAATCCGGGAGTTCGATATTCAAGGTTATATTTTATCGTGTCTTCAGCACCAGTTTCTTGGTCAGCTGATCTATACACACCGGGACCTCGGGAGGTTCGATATTCCAGGTTGTATTTTTTTTGTCAGATTTATAATGCTCCTTCTCAATGAAGTCCTCCAGTGACTTATTAACATTGAGGATAAGATCTGTTATTTCAAACTCCTCCTTGTCGTCAGTGAGAGCTGTGACCTCCTTGTAGAGGGCGTACACAAACTGACAGGCGGGCTGATGGTCAGTTGTTTCTCTTTGGTCAATGATCTCTCCTAGTCCTGACTTCGTATTTGGTTTCATTCTATCAGTATATCCCCCTGCAAAAAAAGGCAATTATATATTTGACAAAGTCAGGACTAAAAATTACTACTATATGATCTATACTTTCTTTTAGACTTGTCTTTGTCTCTGATTTCATTTTATCAGTATATACCCTGAATATATAACAATTATTTTTTATTTGTTACATTATAGAAGAATGTTTACATTACATGTTTATTTTGCATGTGAAGTGTGTGGAATTCTATGGCATTCCAAAAAACTATAACATGGACAAACGGTCAAAGGTTAAAGCATGCATTTTCAATTGACGTCGCAAAAGGTGAAAATCGTGGAATTTTAAGGTACGTCATTAGCCAAAAATCAAAATTTTCTCTTCCATAAACTGTAAGTTACTCCCAGGATAATACAGAGATTTTGAAATATACATAAAATTTGCAGTCAATTCAAGGAGTTAAAAAAATTTATGCAAACATCAGCATTGAATCTTTAATTTTAAAAGATATAGTCTCATAACCGCAACTGTGTGTGCAAACAAATTGTCATCATGTACCAAATCTAGCTAAGACACTGGATTAATAGATAGGAATATCACTTTCTATATACCAGTAAAGGGGTCCTCTTTATGGGGGGGGGGGGGGTAGTAATCCCCCCCCCGCCAAGCTCCTTCCTAAATCTTACCTGAGACAATCGATTGATAAATTAGTATGTCTGCTTCTATGGGGGTCCTCTGTATCTGCAGTAGTAGTCCTCCGCCCATAAAAAACTGGGCTTTACTTATCTGCTCAAGGTTAGGGTTACATGTCTGCAGATTTAGCAACGAAAATCAAAGATAATGAAGTTTTATTGTCTCAAAAATATTTTTAAGTAAAGTGAACTTACAAACCACATAATACTTGGTATAAATATAAACTAAACAAGTGTTCTTTTTTGTAAAGTAGATGCAAAAATATCTTACCCTTCAGTCACACCCAAAATGTTGACTCAGCTTCCGAGGCAATAAACTTAGATGAACTCACTTTTGATCTAAGTCTCACCTTTCGACTGTTTACTTTTTATGTTAAAGTGAAACTGGGATCAAAGCGAGTTTAGTTTAAATTTATGGCCCCGGAGCAAGTTTTGGCATACAAAGCATTTATGACAGTGTACAACCCTATGCATCATAAATGCATTGCTAATTATGCACCGAAAGACTTAGTGTTATATGGGAATGAACGGACTCCCCAAACTCAAAAACGGTTGCTCATCGATAAAATTTTAGGTCAGATTCAGAACTAGGTGAAATCTGAACCAGGTTACGATTACCATGACAACTAATTAGACTAGAAACTGCAAAATAAAATTCTCTAAAAAAAAAAAAAGCTGCATTGTACTCAATTTGAATGAAAAGGAAAATAATTAGATGATATTTTGAGAATGTGTCCTTTGAATCTGATGCTCAGATAGACATATATAGGAATCCACAAAATGAAATATAATAATATGATACATCCTGGAAAGGGAATATTATTTAGATGGGTATTGCAGATTTGTTTTTTAATTTTCATCCTAATATATGTATGTAAAGGTTTCTATAAAAATGACATCCCCACATGTATGTCAAGTTCTTTTTTTATTAAAAGTCCCATTATCTCAGACATGGGTAATCAGAGATGACAGGACTTACACAATGAATGTTGTCTTAAAGTTAAATTGAGTCCCACAATGAACTAACAATGTAGCAGTGTGCATCTCTTTATGCAACATTCATGCAATTTGATCTGCTTTTACTGCAGTTAATTATTGAATTAACTTATTCAAAAACTTAAAGCTTAGTCACTCATCAAGAAAATTCATTCAAATGCATCATCCAGTC